AACCCAAAAAGGTGAAAGTTGATGAGGACTCTTTGCTGAATATAGAAATATATTGTAATGATTTTGTTTTGAATAATTGTGTTTCATTTTAAAATGCATGTATGTGTGAAATAAAATTAATGGTGTTTTCATTTGACATGTTATTTGTAAATGAAAGTATTTTGGGGAAAACATTTCACTAAAAGAGAAAAATGATATCATTTTGCAAATAAGTATTAATTTGTAAGTCATTTACAAAAAATATAATATTGTAAGATATAGCTTTAAAATAAGAATTTTTTAATATGAATTGTGAATGTAAAGGCAAATGCTTTGTAAAAAATTGTCTTATAAATTAACTTTTACTGATTTTGAAGTAGCTTAAAGAAAAATGGTCCAAATAAACTTTGTATATGGATGATGATTGTATTTTGAAGATGTGGTCTTTTTATATGTGATAATGTTTGTAGATACATTGTTTGATAAAAATAAAAAAGTGATTTCATTTTTAAAAGTCATGAAATGTACATTTTGGTGTGATTTTTATGAATGGTATTTTGACTCATAGTTTTGGAATGAAGTGAATGTGCAGTGCATAATTAATTGCTAGTGTAAAAATGTGATGGGTTTAGAGTTTGAAATTGATGGAGCTTAAATATATTTAAAATGTCTGTGTTTGATTATTCAAAAGTAGGTGTAATTTCAAAATGAGCAATACAAAATGATAAAAACAGATTGGTTAAATTCTCACATTGATGAATTGTAATATTTAAACAATATTTGCTTCTTCTTGGTAAACAATTAGTGAGTTATTTCCCTTTACTTATTGTGAACAGTTTGATACATTGGAAAATTTCTATATTTTGTGTTGAAAGCAGGTAAGGGTATGTTAGTTGATTAAATTATTTTTTATTATTGCAGGTTTGGTTTATTGGAAAGACAGAAGATCATAGAGCGGTGAAAGTGTGGCAAACTTTTACTTGAACAAAGCCAAAATATTCAAAACTAAGCGGTGAAAGTGTGGCGAACTTTTACTTTAACAGAGCCAAAATACTCTAAACTAAGCGGTGAAAGTGTGGCGAACTTTTACTTTAACAGAGCCAAAATACTCTAAACTAAGCGGTGAAAGTGTGGCGAACTTTTACTTTAACAGATCCAAAATACTCTAAACTAAGCGGTGAAAGTGTGGTGAACTTTTACTTTAACAGAGCCAAAGAATCTAGAGAAATCTAGTTGCTATTCAATATTCAATTCTTATTACTAGAGAAATCTAGTTGCTATTCATATCTCAATTTTTATTGCTGGAGAAATCTAGTTGCTATTCAATACTCAATTCTTATTACTAGAGAAAGCTTATTGCTATTCAAAACTCAATTCTTATTGAAAGCTTATTGCTATTCAAAACTCAATTCTTATTACTAGAGAAATCTAGTTGCTATTCATATCTCAATTTTTATTATCTAGAGAGATCTAGTTGCTATTCATATCTCAATTTTTATTGGAGAAATCTACTTGCTATTCGTATCTCAATTTTTATTATCTAGAGAGATCTAGTTGGTATTCAACCCTTTAATTTAAATTATCTAGAGAATTCAAGTTTTACACTTCTTTTTTGTATTACCTTGAAAAGTAAATCAATATGGGTCGTCCAAGGAAATCAAAAGCTGCTTTGTTAGCTAATATAAGCAAAGATAGAAAAAGTGCTGATGATAAATGTACCAAAATTGTAGATCACAGTGATCTTGAATATGTTGCAAAATCAAATTCTAATGCCAGTAGATTCAATAATAAAGTTTCAAAAGAAAATGTCAATGAATTGCTTGTAGTCCATGAATCTGATAGTCCTACAGAAATTTCATATGAAAAAGTAGAAATACCTGTGAAAAGCAAGGTAAAAAATGCTTCTAGTTACATTAGTAAAGAGAAGAGTAAAGAGAACTTTGTTTCTAGTAAAAGTAGAAAGAGACAAGTTGAAAGGATATGTATATCTGGTAATTTTAATCAAGGTAATATAGAACGATATGGATTTTATGCTGGCAAACAGTGCACTGTGAACAGCCTTCTGTGTATGATATACAGAAAAATTATGAATGTAAGATCATGGAAAAGTTCCACCTTAGACAAAATCTTAGATTTAGGAAATGAATACTATCAGATTCTTCAGTCTCAACCTAATATACAACATGATTATATTATGGTCAGTGAATTAGTTACATCAGTTGAAGTTGAAGGTAAATACTTTTATTTAGATATTAGTGATAATTCAGAAGTTGGA